ATAAATCTTCAGTTATTGATTGCATTAAAACAGCTTCATTCTGCCTCTCTACGGATGGAAGCAATGATACCGATTCAAAACTGTATCCAGTCGTTGTTTCTTTTTTTAACCCAGAGTTTTCAGAAATTGAGTGCAGTTTACTTTCTGTCCCCACTTTAGAAGGACATTCGACAGGCTTTAATATAGCACAGCTAATTATTAAAACTTCAAAAGAAAATGCAGTCCCTCTGGATAATTGCTTAGCACTTGGTACCGATAATGCACCAGTAATGGTAGGCTTGAAGACTGGTGTTGCAGGCATCTTAAGAAAGGAAAATTCAGATTTGCAAATTATAAGGTGCACCTGTCACCTCTTAAATTTAGCAGCTGAAAAAGGGGCAGCTTCTTTACCAATAAATGTGGATGAACACATTGTTGATATTTATTATTATCTTGAAAGGAGTTCTAGAAGGAAGAAAAATTGAAACAGTTCCAACTGCTGCATAATACGGAAATGAGAAAAATTTTGAAACGTGCATACATGCTGGCTGTCTTTAAAAAAATGCTATAGAATCCTCGATCAATGGAACCCACTTCTTGCATTTTTTAAAGAAGTAAATGCTTTGAGAGTTAAGAGGCTCTATTGAAAGTTATAAAATATATGTTTATCTTGTGAAGAAATAATATTTATGTTTTTTTTTTCTTCAGACCGTAACAAAGCTTTTTCCTTTTTTTTTTTAACAATTCATTTTGCCATCATTCGATGTTCTTAATACAGTTCTATAAAGCAGAATCCCATTAATTTATGTTTTGCAATCAGTGATTTGTGATCTGTTTAAAGACATTTTATCAAAGTTTTTAAAACCAGTTTGTGTTTTGTCTTGTAATTCTATATATGATGTGATTTATGGTGAAATAGAAAATCAGAAGAAAGATGAAGATTTTGTAATAGGAGCTGCAACTACAAAAGTAGTGAAAGAACTTTCAGAAGAAGACAAAAATAAGTTTTATCTTCATGTTAGAAGTTACTTCTGTCGAGTATGTGATTACATACTACATAAATTTCCAGTCAGTGATGAAGTGATTGTGCATGCTAAGTTGCTGATGTTTCTGCTCTAGCAAATGCATTTTTTTCTGATATAAGGTACTTTTTGAACAGATTCCCTGTGTTACTTCATTTAGTCATGAAAGATGATGATATTGATGTTGCCACTGATATATCACAGTCACAATTTTGCAGTTTACAATTAGAAAACTGGATGAAGTTATAAAATCAGCTAGGATTAACACCCAGTGGAGTTTAATTGTAAAACTGAGAGGTGCTGATGGAATTTTAAAATATAGTGAACTGTCTAGAATTATGTTGGCCATCGTGACAGTTCCCCATAGTAATGCAGAGTGTAAGAGGATTTTTAGTGTTGTTGTGAAAACGAGGACTAAATTTAGATCTAATATTAGTGATGACGCATTAGAAAAACTTTTATTAGCGAAAGCCGGCCTACGTGACAATTGCTATTAACAAAATTGTGAAGTTTTTTTCTTAACGAAAGCAAAATCTACCACTATTCATAACATTTGTATAGAAACTGATTAAAGTTTTTTTTTTTTTTTTGGTGTGTGTGTGTGTATGTGTGTGTTTAAACGATTCAAGTAATAAAAATATTTTTTATGTGCAAGGTATTTTTGTGTTGCTTGCATTTAAGAATTAGTAACTATTTAAAGTTAATTCATTATTGAAAACTATATTTTTATCATTTAAAAAGTCTTTTTAACATTGTGAAAAATCTCCTGATTTTTGAGTGTCATAGGTTGGCAAGTATGTGTTTGAATGGTACAAATTTTATTGTTTAGCAATTTAGGTAATGTTATAAATGCATGCATAATAAACATATATGTTATAAATGTATAATTATTCAGAAAAATTATTAAAATAATTAACGTACACTTTTCACTTATTAGCAATATTCATAAAGTTTACACATTTTTTATGCTAAAATAATTTTGAGTTTTCTTTTTCTTTTTTTTTTTCTTTTTTTTTTTTTCTTTTTTTTCTTTTTCTTTTTCTTTTCTTTTTTTTTTCTTCCCCCCCCCACTGAGCTGATCATTTCTTTCATAGTTCTGTAGCTCTGATTTGAAGGTAAAAATTTACATATAACAGTTCATGTGTAGAAATGGCTAAAATGTGAATCTATATTTTGTATAACTTGGCACATCTGTATATCATATTAAAATTTTAATATCACCTTTCATTTTATATTATGTTAGAATGATTTAATTTCTTCTAATTTATGTATAATTTTTACAAGCGACAGCTTTATATAAAAATCATTATTTTTTTAACTGTTCTTTATATATTCCATATTAGAATTTCATATACTTAACAATTAAAAGAATTGATTATAATAAAAAAAAATTGCCATCATGCAAGACTGAATCTTTACCATTGCAATAAAATGCCAATGGTATGTTTGCTATTGCCTCTGAAATTTCAGCAAGCAGTTTAATAATCAGATTATAAATATATTATGCTTTATCTTTTTTGAATTTTTCTTTTTTGTAGGAAAATTCAGTGTTATGGTATTTTTTGCTTTGTTTTTAAAAACTAATTATTGTAAGTCTATTTTTATAAACTATATATACTACAGTCAAAAGTTGTTAATTTGGACACCCATAATCCGAAATCATCTATAATCCGGACCTCAAAGCTATTTCTGCGCATGCGTCGCGTTTACACATGTGTGTAAGACCTTTACGGCTGCGCTTATGCATGTGCGTAAGCGCATAATACGTTTACGCATGTGCGTTTAATGTATAACTGACGGTATAAGCTAAAATTATCTAATTATCTATTTCAGTTAATGTTGCGAATTGCGTTGTTCCTTAATCTTCGAATTGGATCCGGCTTATTATTTTTTGCAGACTATTAGAGCAATTTTATAAAAGTAAGCTTGAACTTTCGATTATGTCAAATAGAATTTCCGATGCTGAAGCTCCCAAAGGATCTACAAAGCGAAAGTATGTTTCGATGTCCATCAAACAAAAAGTGGAATTGCTGCAAAAAATGGATAAAGGCATGAAGAAAGTGACAGAGAGGTTAGTGAATACGAAAAAATTTCGATTGACAAGTTAGTCGGTATTCTCGGCACAGCAATTACAGGATTTGAACAGCAAAACTTTGTAACTGAACAAGAAATTATGTCTGTTTATATAGAATTAAAGAGAAAGTATTAGCACATAAAACAAAGCAAATTAAACAACTTACATTGAAAGAAATGTTTAATAAAGTAAACAAAGAAATATTAAGCTTTTTTTTTGTAAATTTTGATACCCTTTAGATCATAATTGTTCTTTATTTCATAAATTACGGTTTCATATTTTTAATTTTATAATTTCTGCATGCCATCATACCAGATTTAAACTGATGATCTATAATCCGGAAAAATCGATAATCCAGAATCGCCGAAGTCCCGACGAGTCCGGATTAACGACTTTTGATTGTATATTGAATCTCATTAAAATATAATTTATTTATTTTTTAAGGAAAAAAATTCAACACTAAAATGTCACTTTGATATACAACCCACCTCGCTGACTGGAAATTTTAATTTTAATTATTTATGTTTTTAAGTACCAGAGATGCTATTAGTCTGAAATCTCATTTTTGCCTGCATCATATTAAAAAAAAATTGTTATTGCTATGTATTATTTTGAAAGAAATAATATAGCAAATAGAAAAGCTATGGTAAAACAAATAAACGGATGTTGCCACCAGATACGTATGTATTATTTCCCAAAAAATAATCTAGTGAATATAAAAAAGTATGATAACACAATAAAAGATGTTGTCACCAAACACTATATATAATTTTGAAAGAAATGACACTGAGCATAAAAAACTATATAGCAACATTTAACACTTTATCGGGAAGTCTAAAGATATCTGATATAATAAAATATTTTTAACTTCGATGTGCCAGTTTGTTGCCATTTAGCAAATCATAAGATATTTAATTTTTCTGTTAAATTTATTCTGCATGTTACTAATAAACAAACTAATCAATTTAAAAGCAATAAACATAGTTATCTATCTCTTTTGTTATACTTGTGAAATTACACTAACTAAATTTATTAAAACCAGTTATATATATAACTGGTTTTTATATATATATATATATATAATACTACACTTCATTTCTAATAAATTTTTATAAATATTTTGCGTATTTTCATAGTATACGTTTTACCATAAGTTAAAAGAAAATTCCTAGTTTGTACGTTAAAAAAGTGTGCGAACTAGGAAAATATATATATATATACATATTTCTTATTTTGTAAGAAAGATATTCTTATAAAATAAGAAATATGTATTTCTTATTTTATAAGAATAATTATTTAAAATGTCTGGCCCTGCCAGCAGCTAGCTAGTTGAACAAACAACAGAAGTGAGATTCAAGAACAGTAGCACATTTGGGCTAAAACTGTATAGCAATACTTAACACTGTATCCAGAATTCTGAAGATATGCTGTTTTTAAAAATTTTGTCATTTTACTGTTGAGTGTTGTGTATTACAAGTGCAAAGAAAATTAAAAAGATTATAAAAATTGTGTCAGGAATGAGGAAAAGCAGAAATTGATGAATTGTGGACTTATTGAGAACATCCCCCCCCCTAAAAAAGTCTTAACAAACCGTCTAGTACCCTCTTAAAACTGAATTCTTTCAAATTTTCTTTAATCTAATTGTTTTTCTTTAAAGGGCAAAAGTTTTTTTCATTAACTGTGATGGTACGAATAAAGCTTATAAGATAAGTAACAACCCTCTATATTTTATTACAAAAATGGTTTACTAATTTTAGTTATTGCATTTGATTAATATAATACATTATGTGTGTGTGTATTTCATTATATGTGCGAGTGTTATAACTTTATTATGCTAATAAATTCCTTAAGCACTTTTATTGTCACCTTTTTAGCTTCTGTTTATTTTCTCTTTATTAATGTCTTTTAATTTTTCATTAATTTAGATGTGATTATAATTCACCATTTAACCAAGGCGAAAATCGTCCAGCAGGACAACGTAACAGAGATCCTTATAATGACATGAGCAGACCATCAAACATAATTCCTTTGGGTAGGTTCTCCAGAGGTTTACGTGCTGGCGGAGGTATGGGCCAAACAGGACAAGGACATTGGCAAGATAATAGGAACAAAGCCCAGAATCAAAGGTATGTGCATTTCTATAGTATTTCCTGTTACATAATTTTACTACTTCAGTTTATAATGGTCTTTTTGTATCTTTCCATGTTCATTGTTAATCATGTTTAGAATTTCATAAAATAGAAAAATCCAAGGAATGCGTGTTTGTTGGTGCTTTGGTTAATCGTTACAATTTTTGCATATATCCTAATTGCTTTTCAACAATTATAAGTTGTTGGAGCACTTGCATAATTACTTTTCTACTAACTTTAATTTTAAAACCTATTTAAAGACAATCTTTTCCTAAAATATCTGACTTTCTGTGTTGATTTAATTTGATTTTTGGATGCCTGATTTCTTCACAGTAATCATATGTTTTTACCTGTAGCCAGTGTTATGATGAATTCTTGAATTATTTTATTCTTGATTTTTCTTAATTCATTAAATATTGTAGGTTTCTTTATCAAAATATTCATTTAGCATTGAATATGTAGGTATGGTAGAATTTTATGCTAAGCAAATTGCGCTGATTTTCCTAATGAAACTTTACAATATAAATTTCTGAAAAGCCTTTGAAAGCTTATTTTTAAAGTATTTCTTATGTTTGTATCATAAAGTTCAATAACTATTTCTTATTTTTTTTTTTGTAATCTAATAGTTGCACTCTAACTTACAGTAATTTTCAGTCTAGTAAATTAGTGCTGCAGAAATTATTATCAAACTTTTAAAATTAAGAAAGGTTATGAAAATTGAAGGAAAACTATTTCATTTCTTTTACAATAGGAGTTTCGCAATCTTTTTTAAAAGTCAAAAAAGATATGCTAAAAATTTTTAATTGCTTTTCCTCTCTATTTTTTTACCTTTTTAAATTAAAATTCTGAAAGTTATTATTTGAAGTATTAAGATCAATATTATATTGCCAACATAAATCTAATGACAGTTATTAGAAAGATGTTCAAGTGTTGTTGTTGATGCGTTATTACATTTTACATCCCACAACTACTAGAATTCTTAAAAATAACAGCATTCACTATCACTATTAATCTAAAATATTATATTCATCTAAAATATTATTCTTGGCAGTTAGTCACAGAAAAGGTACTTAAATTTAAAGAAAAAATTCTTAAATTTAAAGAAGAAACAGTTCTTTGTTGTTTATTACATTCATATTTTACTTCTTTTGCTGTACATCTGAAAATGTTTGTTTCTTTCATTTAAATATTTTTTTTATATTTAAACTATTTCAGATAACGAATCCTTTATAAAGTTTGAAATAAGTAGTTGACAAATTCAGAATTTAAAGATTCTTAAGGTATGCATTCTGAAGATAACAGAGTTTGAAACAAAATTAATAACTTTAAAAAATCAGGAAAAATACTAAAAACATAATATATAAGACTTTCACTGATTTCCAGTTTTATTATAACAAAAATTTAGCTTCCAAGCCCTTTAATATTACATATTGCTGCTAACCGTGGTTTTATTAGATTATATGGTAAAAGTGGTTTATTTGTTGGTTAGTTGTACAACTTTGGGATCCTGTAGTAGAAATCCTGCTGACAACAGAAAAATTGATGCAAATTGACAGTTCAGCAGCTCTTTCAACCTTGAGTTGTTTTTTTGTGTTTCTAGTTTTGTCTCCTGGGAAATTGCTGATTGACATGCATTTTCCTCTTCAAATATGCAATCCCATACATTTGGTGCAATTAAACATTAAGCATTAAGTTTATATTACCGTATTTACGCGAATCTAATGCGCATCGTTTTTGGCCAAATGTAGTACTCAAAATTGGGGTGCGCATTAGATTCGATGGCGCATTAGAGTCGAGTGCAAAGTTCGCCGATGACGTCAACCAAATTTAAATCGTAACAATGGATTACTGTATTTCTCGACTACATTTACCGTTACATTTATGGTTGACACATTATTGCATAGAGAATACAAACTGTAGAGTACGTAGTCACGAAATGGCGGGCAAGCAGAGAAGAATGTCATATGACGCTACTTTCAAACGTAAAGTAATTCTTTATCCTGAAAGAAATGGCAAAGAAAGGCTGGGAGAGAGTTAAAACGTAGCTGAGAGCAATGTTCGCTTTGTGGCGGCACAGAAATTGACACTGTTTGCAACCTAAAACTAGTAGAAAAAGAAATTCACTGGCCCCTCGCAAAGGAAGACACCCTAAAATTGAAGAAAAAGTTTTGGAATTTGTACGTGAAAGGAGGAAGAAAGAATGGACAACCTGTGACTAGTAACACTATAAGAAAAAAAGCAAAAAAGAGGAGGCTGAAGTTCTTGGAATACCGAAACCAGAGTTTTAAAGCTAGCCGTGGATGGGTGGATCGGTTGATGAAGCGGATGGGCTTATCTCTAAGACGCGTACAAACAATAGGCCAAAAGCTTCCTGCAGATTTTGAGGGAAAAAACTAATAACATTTTAGCGGTATGTATCACACTTCGGAAGGAAAAGAATTTTTCAATGGGGCAAATTGGCAATGCTGACGAGACGCCAATTTGGTTTTGATATGCCTCCTAACTACACCATTACATAGAAGGGGATAAGGGAAGTTATCATCAAAATAGTGAATAAAGACGTTTACTATTAATCACTGATTTGTAGAAACTGTTAGCCAGATAGAAATGTTACGATTATTTCATGTTCATACTTTACGATATGTACCGTATATACGGTAGTGGTAATTAACAATGATTTGTTTCACATAACAATAGCCCACTAATAGGTTAATTTATGTTCTGCTACTTCATGTATAAATTATTGTTGTATAAAATATGGTATCTAAATTTAAATAAAATTATCATACCATTGATGATAGTTTATATACAAATCCAATTGTTGTATAAAATAAGATTCAATAAATCCTCATACCATTGATGCGCATTACATTTGCAACAAAAATTGTTTTATTATTTAAAGTTTTAAAATGGGGATGCGCATTTAGATTCGCATATAAATATGGTAATTAATTATTATTAATTATTATATATATATATATATATATAATTAAACATTAAGCATTAAGTTTATATTAACATTAAACATTAAGCTTATCTGTCAATGCAAAAACAGATTCTACCCACAAATGTAGACTTTTTTTTTTTTCTTTCTTTTTTAAAAATAATTGCTAATGTTGCCTTAAGGATGCCACCAAATGCAGAACTTTAAAAAAATTTTACTTGTACTTTCTACTTTTAAATCATGAGTTAATGCTGTGTTCAAAATTGGTACTTCCACACTGGAATCTTTTACTGCTTCTACTTGCTTGCCTGCAATGTAAATAGTAATAATCTTTTGCAGGAGATATTGAACTTTTTTATCCGAATGCTTACATCTTTGTAAATGCTTAGAATGTACATTAGTAATAGCCACATTGTGTTTTGGTTTACTTGGCATGGTAACTTTCCGTTTTACTTGAATATTATCATTTTGTTTATTTGATCTATCAAATTTATTTCACCTATTAGGACAGTCTTTAGCTAAATGTAAACTGCTACTATACATGTAAGATTCTTGCAGTTTAAGCAAAAATTTTTATTCATTTATCACTGAATCTTATCTCAGTGCTGGTGGAATATATTTAAAATTCTGATTGAATGAATCACAATAACTGGTTCATTTTTCACCTCATATCTCATAAAAAAAATCTACTTTTCAAAGTGAAATAAATATCATATTCCTTTCCCAATTTTTCTGTACATAGCCAACTTTCACCTTTTTGAACTGCAGTGTGAGATGCCAAATCATTATCCAACATTTAAAAAAGTTTATATGAAATGATTAAGCTAATCAAAGGATCAAAATAGTAGACATTTTTGTTTTTACAATAATGTATCCAACATGATTTTAAAGAGAAGCTAACTGCAAATGAGAGTTTTTCCCATCAACCTTTAAGCGTGGAAAAAATTTTCTAAACACATAATTGATGATGGTTCATATTTTTAATAATTAAAAATTTAATTTCTTGTAATCTTTCAAAACATCTTCTTTAATACAAGGTAACCAAAAAAGTTCTTGTCGTTTCTAATATGACATTAGAAGAGTGAACCCCAACATAAAAATAGTCGCCAAACATGGCAATAATGTGGTTAGGATAGGAGTCCAGACATTGACCAAGAGTATAAAAGCATATTGCATCGGTACTTCAAACATCGACTGCATCTGTCATGAGGCATGAAAAACATCTGGCATGAGGGACTAATAAGTTAATCCACTTCAACTTTAGCATAAAAATCATCTTATTTCTTTGCTCATTTATCACTTAGAGAAAACTTTATGTTAGTTTCAGTAAGGACATCTCTGACAGCAAAAGGATTACTGCTGGCATCTCACAAGGATCAATTTTAGGCCTTATCTATTTATTTTACTTGGCGGATTTTCCTAAGGTCCATATCTGTGATAATCATTATCTTGGCTGGTACGCGGATGATACCATGCCAGCAGTCAAATCTGTGAGAATGGAGCTTGCCATCCGTAAACGGCAGGATCTCATGCCGCAGATTGAAACGTGATGCACCAATTGGCACATTGTTATAAATACCCAGAAATCTCAACTGTTAATCATCCACAGAAAATTCTCCAGAACTCCTATAAATATTAGATTAACTCTTCTTAGCACCGAAGTTCCAATTGTAAAAAAGGCAAAATATTTGGGCATTACCTTAAATAATAGACTCACCTGCTCCGATCACGTGACTAACAGGAAAAGAAGAGCTGTTGGTGTTATGGCACAACTTACGCCGTTCATAGGCAAGTACTCATGCTTAGATCTGCCAAAAGAAAAGGCATATTTATATTGCCATAATTAGGCCTGTGTTTACCTATGTTCGCCGGCTTGGGCCGCCTATACTAAAAAGGATGTGTCAAAATTACGAGTCCTGCAAAATAGATACAGTCAAAAGTCGATAATCCGGATTCGTCGGGACTTTGGCGATTCCGGATTATAGATCATCAGTTTAAATCTGGTAAGATGGCACGCAGAAATTATAAAATTAAAAATATGAAACCGTAATTT